ATATATATATATATATATATATATATATATATATATATATATATATATATATATATATATATATATATATATGACGTAATGCTCTAAATATATATAAACAAAATTTAAACGTTAAGGAAGAGGAATCTGCGAGTGTGAAAAAGTAAGTGCCACAATCAGGAATCAAACCCATGACCTCCTGCTGTCTATGTAGGTGCCTTAACCAACTAGGCCATTAAGGCTTTGTTGAGAATTCAAATCTGATTAAAGCACTTTATATTCCACACTCATGCGCATGCTTTTAGACAGTACTAGTTCTTGATGCATGGCAAATATATCACATATATTTTTTCCAATTTCCTTAGCGGTTGTTAATTTACAGGTAAATTTAGTGCATATGCATGTGTCATGCTTGCCTTTTTTTAAATGTTCTTTTTAGTGTCTTTGAATCCTCCCAATTAAGAGGCCTCTGAGCTCACATGTACTCGCCACTGGGCGTTGTACTGACAGAAACTAAGAAAGAGTTGATTATAATTTAAGACTCTTGAAGGAAGAGAATGGGACAGTAATAGACAGGTAATACAACCTAATGGAATGAGGACGCATCAAAATGTGAGAAAAACTGTTAAAATATGGAGTTTGGTGGTGAGACGAAGGCTGCAGGAGAAATGGCTGTACATAAAAATCACAGCTGTTGAAAGACTGTTACTTCACAGGTACACCACAATAAATTTTTTTTTTAAAATTGCACCAGAGTTTAAGCTGAGAATTTAACAAAGAATATACCATGAATGCCTTTAGATACTAAGTTTAACACAATAATATTTTATTTCCCTACATTTCTCTTCTTTAACTTAAAGATACATTAGCTATATTTAGATAATGATTTTGAAAAGTAATTAAATTCAAAATTTCAATTTCTTATTTTGTGTATTGAATTTAGAATTCAATTGAATTCAGAATGACTAAAATATTTTCTTCAAACATTATCAGATATATAAGAAGAAATACGATTATTTGGGAATGATTAACATAGATTATCAAAAAAAAAATGTTGAGGTTGTTCACCATAGGTTTTCAAGAAAAACTGGCCAGACACATGAATTAATTTGTCATTAATTCAAATACAATCAGGTTTGTTGATCATCAAACTCTTTATTCCTTTTTCTAAGTAGTGAGTCACTTCCCACTCAACATATTGTTTATTCTTCTTTCTTCTTCAAAATAGATAAATCTTAAGTAATTTGTATTTAATTCAAAGATGGGGTTATGTACTTAAGAGGTTTTTTAATTAATTAATCTTTACTTAAAGAGCAAACATAGTTCTTTAAAACTGGAACCCTAAGGATATGTTTCTGTCCTCTTCAATAGACAACATGGCAATATTAAAGCCAGCTCCTGAGAGAAAAAATATTATATGTTGTACAACTGATTCTTTATTTCTTTTGAAAAAAGGAATAGTTACACCCTCCCCCTACCCACAATATCCAAAAATCTCTATTTCATTAATAGTTTCCAAGTTTTCCATCAAAAACCCTTTTTGTGTCTTAAAAAAATCAGTTGTACAAGATATACTCAATTAAACATACTGTAATGGTTTGGGAAGCCTCAGTATTGATTTAGCCTGGATTCGACCACTGAGGCTTGGTGGATGAAACCAAATACCCATTCAGAAGAACAAAATACGTTTTGAGACAGACTGCAATTACTGCCTTTTCTTTTATTCCGATGTTCACAGTAACGCAGATATACACAATAATGCAGGTGTACACAGTAACACAGGTATTCACCATCCGATGTACACAGTAACGCAGATATACATAGTAACACAGGTGTACACAGTAACACAGGTATTCACCATCTGTAACAAAAGACCCTATAATATATAATAGCATATTCATAAATATAATTATATAAATATATCATTATCACAATAATTAACAATTGCAACAATTAACTAATTAATTATTACATAAGCATTCACAATTCAAATGCACTCACTATAACATTGTCACTTGAATGTCATTACTATTGTATTACATTATGGTATATATATGGAAAAACAATTATTAGAGTAACAAGCTCAATACCTGGATCAGTAACACCAAATTCATAGAACTAACTTCATGGCATAGCAAACACTGATTTAATACCACACATAACCACAGGACGAAACTATACGTATTAAAACAAAGATTAATTAAATCATTGGTAAACGCATACATTATACCGATTTTTAACAGTAGATTCCGTCTGTATTCTTAAGCTAAGCAAGACCAGAATACCAACTAGGCATAAATTACTTAACATATATATATTAACAATAATATTACTGTATATAAGCGGTTGGCGCATCGGTTGTGGCTTGGACTCCCAACCTCGAGGTCAGGGGTTTGAAACTCTCACTGTGCAAATCGCTTGTGTCCTTGAGGAAGGCACTTTATCTATGGTTGCCTCTCTCCACCCAGGAGTACAAGTGGGTACCTGGTAGGTTCCAACACAGCTGCGCTGATTACTAGCTGCAATATTATGGAATAATAATATAATTTAACTTAATAATTTAATTTGGTGTTCAATGTGTTCCGTAATATGTGTTTGATCAAACGGCCGGGGTAGTAATGTGAAGCATTTAGAGGCTTTGTTAAGGCATTAAGCGCTATATAAGAACGACATATTATTATTATTATATAATCGAAAAAAACAAATTAGAAATATCAAGTTACTCACAGTATCGAAAATATTGCTCACGCAGCCAATGCATTATATTTTTCATCTGGTATGCAAACTTACACACGAATCAATAAAACAAAAGCAGTAGCAATAGCAATAGCAATGCAATGTGCCACAAAAACGATAGAAAAAAGAAATAATGGAAAACTTTCCGTTCCATCACAGTACCTTAATTTCACTGTAAATGTGGGACTACAACACATACTTACCATCAAAATGTGTTATTGCATGATCATAAAGACTTATAGATCCTAACCAGGTTAGAATAATGTAATTCTACTTGAGTAGAACATTAATAGAATACGTTGAGAATGATGTTGCTTCCATTTAGGGAAGGGGGGGTGGGCATTTAGAAAAAAATAAAACCCTGAGGCATTCATTCGAGGAAGGCTTTTATTTCAAATTAGGCTCTGGAGGGTGCGTTTATTTTAAGGGGAAGGGGTTTATTCATTTATTTGAATAAATAGGGAAAATGATCGTATTGTCTTACTTTATTTAATTCTGTTTTTTTCACCTAAATTAAACATTTTGCCTGAGACCATCTTCTAATGTATATACATGTCACCAAAAGTAAACAAAAACAAATTAAACTTTATAATTTCGTTTAATTAATGTTTATGTAGATATAAAAAATAATGATGAATAATAAATTACAAAGATATTAGCATGCATCATATAAACAACTGTATCTCATCTACTGTATCAACCAGTCCAGTAGAACATATTTTTGGAAGTATCTCGACCATGGACAAAGGATGATGGATGGGGGATGATCACGATTAATCAGCCAATCAAATCTATCTTAATTCCAAAGATACTCTTTCAATACATTAGTACTGGTCTCCCAAGAGGCACAGGTTCATCAATAAAACAAAATAAACACATACACCAGATATAAATTAGCTTGGTAACTAAAATGCTCTCCTAAAGAACATTCAAACATATCGGTGCCAAAATTGCAATTGACACGTAATGGGAGTACATACCACAATCTACCTGGCCTGTAAAATTTGAAGGGTTAGGTTTTTTTCTTAGGTTTATTCCGAATTGGGACAATTAATATGTTAGATGATTAACATCTTATGATTTATAGAATGCTTAGTATTTTGAGAATTAAATTTAGATTATATGTATACAAGGTCAAGTATTGCATTTTAGGCATTATCATAAGCAGTATATGGTCCTCACAATTATCTTTTAATAAGTTTTTAAAGTAATAATCATACTTTAAGTAATGATTGTAGCTAATGTTATTCAAGGATGGATCTAGAATTTTTTTTAAACAAGGGGGCACCAATTTCATATAGGCCTAAGATGTAATTTTATTAAACGTTGCACTTTTATTTAAGTATCATCAGGAATAATACATGATGATGTTTAAATAAAATTGTCTTGCCAATTTTTGGAGTGACATTCATACTATTTTGGAGTGACATTCATACTATTTTGTAGAAGTGGTTGGCGCATCGGTTGTGGCTTGGACTCCCAACCTTGGGGTTGGGGGTTTGAAACTCTCGCTGTGCAAGTCGCTTGTGTCCTTGGGCCCGGCACTTTATCTACAGTTGTCTCTCTCCACCCAGGAGTACAGTGGATACCTGGTAGGTTCAAACACAACCATGCGCTGATTACAGCTGCAACACTATGGGGCATGAGTGCTGTGTTCCATGTTGTTGATACGGGGGTAATAATGTAAAGCGCATAGAGGTTAGTCTACAATATGCACTATATAAATCGACAATTATTATTATTATTATATTATTTTTACTTAAACTCAGTGCACATCCTAATTGTTAAGAATCAAATGAAAATAAAAATATTTACAAATAAAAAGATGATGCAAGTCTACTGGAACCTCCAGAAATCTTCTTGAAATGCATGAGTTATTCCCAAAAAATGAGCTCAATCTCCTAGAATAGTAGAAGCAACTTACATTCTCCAGATATCAAAAGATTCTGTTTACCATATTTAAGAACAAATTATTGATTAAAAAATAATACTTTTATTTAATTTAATGTATTTATTTTATTCAAATAATTCAAATACTTTTTTTACATTATGTATTTACTTTTATACTTGATCAAAAATAATACTTATTTTACATTTAAAAAAAAACAGGAATAAGCTAATAAACTTAGCAATACCGTAAATGCTCGAATAAGTGCCGCGGCGCTTATAAAATTTTTGGAGGCTTCAGTGCGGCGCTTATTCAACAGCGGCGCTTATTTGAGAGCGGTGCTTATTAAAAAAATATTGGCGTGGCGCTTTCCATGCCTGTTCCCATGTAACCTATTTTACATATTCCCGTAGTTCAGTAGGCCTACCATAGGTCCTATAATCGTAAACAAACGTTTATAAAAAATGATTGTGTCTTAATTGTTTTAGTTAGTCATATTAACCCTGTATACATTTATTTTTATTTTGTTTCATTATACACAGTGTAATATTATGTACTCTCGATTAAGCGCCGAGGCACTTATTCCAGAGCGGCGCTTAACGAAAAAATCACGTTTGGTGCGGCGCCTATTCGAGCATTTACGTATTCATTCCCTTTCCCTACAACCCTATAAAACTATAAAAATCTCATTTAATTTATCTATTTGTTTTTTTCTTTTGTTTTTTTTAATGTATTTTTCTTTTAATTTTGTTTTGTAATTTAATGTAATTCAAGAACATACCTTGGACCTCAGGGAAGAAACAGTGTAACAATACTGACTGAGTATCTAGAATAAAAAAGATTTCGATCTATCCATTTATTGTGTATTATAGTTCTGTGTTCTCTATTTTGCTTTCAGCATGTTTATTAATATACCGGTACACTGAAAGTAGAATTAAATATGTACCGTGTTCATTTAATTAACCTGGAATGTTTCATCCATACGCTCTATTCTGTATTGATGTAAATTTTAGTTGGCATTTCATTTGACTAATGGGAAAAAGTAGCCTGAACTATAAGGGGAAGAGCAATTACTTGGTAATTTCTAAGCTACAGAGCATCATACTCAGCAATTACCAAGGGGGTAAAACATGCTACACACATTATTCAAATTTAAGAAAAATTATGGACTTAGTCATTGAGAATAAGAATACAATGAATGGTTTTAAACTTGTATAATATAAATTAATAAAGGTAAAAAAAATGTGTAAATACCTAAGACTGACTGACTCAAACTCTTTTAATAATCTATTGTCTGCTTTTTAAAAAACAAAATATACATATTTTATTATCAAGAAAAAGCCCAAAATAACTTTAATAAATGTTATCTAATACCATGTGGTCAGCATATCAACTGGCTACAATGGTGGTATCAACTTTGTGTGCACAACCCCGGAGATCCTTTGTACTCTAGTTTTATGGACCTTTCCACTAAGACCCCCACCCCCACCCCTCAACAGATATTGTTGCTATGGTCCCATAAAAGGACAGTCTTAAAACATGCGCAAAGACGTGTTTGTGGGACAACACATGTGCTTGTTGGACACAGGCGTATTCCTGTTCTGTTTGGTCAGTTTTATTGACACTCTGGGATGGGAAGGTCTATTCCATTTCCTCACTCACAGTGAGTTTCAGCTGGAAAGCTTAAATTCACTATCAGAATGACTTCATTGGAAATAGTTTTTGGACTTTCCATTGGTTATCCAAGTGTTGATTTATTTTTAAAAATTTACAAATCAATGTTTGCTTCCCATCCCACCAGGCACCCATTTGTACACCTTGGTAGAGAAAGTCCCACAAGCATGATATCTACATGTGTTCCTCTTCATCCAGGTGTATAAAATGGGTATTAGTAAAAGAGTGCAGCTTAGCTCAGCTGTGTGCGCTGAACCGTGGAGACCTCTAGGTCCATGGTTCTATTCCCATCGCTGCCTCTCCTTGTGTTTCAGCTAGAGGACTGAAACATAAGTTACAATAGCACACCGTCTTTCGGATGAGACGTTTAAGCCGTTAGTCCCGTGTGCATTTATGGCCCATGTGCACGTTAAAGAACGCAGTACACTCTTAGGAAAAGAGTAGGGAATTGTCTCCCGGTGTACTGCTCAATCACCACCAGAAGGACCCCACTAGAAATAAGTCTTCTTCCAGACTTTTGTGGGCTATCCTTGGTGTTTACACCAAATAAATCCAATCCAATCCAAACTGAAGTTCCACAATAATTATAAATTCGCTAGCAAGTTAAGGTGACAGTGTCTATTTTTGTATACAATGACCGGCCAGAAATACTTACAACAGATAAAGTCCTGTGATCTACAAAGAAATAAAGCATTATATAACAACTGAATATTATAATCTATTAATAATATCATACAACCAATAAAAGAAGTCTGAATCTAAAAACAGAAATAATGCAATGCTTTAAAATATATGAACATGGCATGTGCACAGATAATGATATGAAATTATAGTATTAGAGCAAACAGATGGTAAAAATTATTTTTATCAGCCCGGAATATTCAAAATTTTGATTCAAAAGCTGGAGTTATTGCTTAGTTATTACTTCTATTCATTACATACAAGTAATAGAAACACATATAACTGAAATAAAATTTTTCAATAAACAGCACAATCCACAATAACAGATTCTGCATTCTTAACATGTTTAAAAACAAAGTCAAAAATAAAATATTGATAATAATAAAGAACATTCTATAGCTTGCCCCCCATTTTGCTATTAAATTTTAAAAATTTAAATGCAAATCAATGTTATGTGCTACTCAATTACCTAGATTCTGAAACTGTTGTGCCCCCTTCCCCCACCCTCCATTTGAAAAATTATAGATCCCCCTATCTGTGATAGACTAGTGACCCACCCAAGGGGAGTATCACAGTCTCACCTGGGAGAAGCACTCAAAAGTTTTAATTTTATATTTAAATATTTTATTTCTTAATATTTTTTTATTTTAAGTAAAGTAGTTCATTTTCAAATGGAAAATTTGAAAATTATTTGCTTGCAAATTACAGATATATAATTTTCTTATACAGTCTTGTAATTTTATATAAGCCTTTACACTGACTGGTTCTCAATTTAAGGAATGTTGCAGTAAAAAGCCTCTAATTCAAACTGAACCTTTCAATCTGTCTCCTTTAAATTTAATAACATTTTTGATGCTTTTAAATGAATAATTTATTGTATTGATTTAATTTTTAATCGTTTTTCCATGTATAGTAAATCTTGTATTAGTAAGTAAAATCATAAAAATAAGAAATAATAATATGAAAATACGTATTCTGGTACACAAGGAACATAGAAAAGAAATGAAAATAGTCGAAAGGTCCACTGATTAATCTCAGATAAGAAAGTATATACATACTCCAAGTATTGAAATGCATGCCATCGTGTTGGGATTCAATATTTCAACATTAATTATGTTATCATCAGGAATACTTGGAGTATATATTATACTTTCTTAAATGAAAATAGGTTATTGTGATATCTTCAATCCAAAGTTCTTTTGACTACATCGTTGAGCAGAAATTTCACTTCTTTTAAGTTGATCATTAGCGGTAAATTACTGCAATAAAAATTTCTATTAGTTGTGAGATGCTGAAATGTAATATCAAGAACATGATTCCGAGGCTGTGGAACATCAGAAATTGATTTGCTTCTTTGACGTGCTTTTGAAATATTACAAATGAATGCGTGTAAATTGAATGTGTAGAGAAATTTCATCCATCGAAAATGGTGATCTAAATCTTGCTGGCGTTTTTTCTCTCGATTGCGGAGCAGACCTGTTTTACTCAACATGCCTAGGGACTCGGCTTCCTTGCTTCTGATGACTATCTTTTTTTAAGTTTCGGAATCGTTCTTGAGATGCCGTACGCAGGAGACCAGCAGAATGCCATTAATGTCAGTGTGAAATATAGTGCACATTAGTGCGTCTTACCCTGCGATTTTCAAAGCCTTTACCAAGTGTGATTTAATGGCCTGCGATTAAAAAGGTTTTGAAGAGCAGAGAAATTTCTAATGGATAGTTAAATGCTAAATACTTCTAAGCTGTAATCTAAACAGCAAATAAACAAAATCTAAGAGATTTAGCACTGCTAGACTGCTAAGTAATTTAATAATGTGAGCAGTGACATTGGATAAATAAACAAAGCTAAATAAATACTTGTAATACATTTTGTTCTTTTTACCCTTCAATGATGACAGTAATAATGAAATGGTAATACTTTAATTATAACATGAATTAAAATAATAATTTGGAATATTGTCACAATTTTTCTATCAATAAAAGACTAATTTCTCATTATTGCCATTAATGTAAATGAGAATGATAACATAAATGATGATGATGATGATGATAAGGATTATGATGATGAGGATGAAGATAATGATGATAATGATGATGATAAGGATGATAATGATGAGGATAAGGATAATGATAAGGATGACTATGATGATATTGATAAGAATGAGGATAAGTATGATAAGTATTATGATGATGATAAGGATTATCATTACGATAATGATGATAATAAGGATGATGATGATATGGATAATAATAATGAAGATGATTAGGATTGTGATGATAATGCTGTTGATGATAATGATAATAAAGATAATGATGATGATGACAATAAGGAAAATGACGATGATGACAATAAGGATGATGATGATAAGGATGATAATCATGGGCAATAATCAGTCTTTTAATATATTTTAATATTTTTGATTGAAATACATTTTAAAATGTATGCATTTAAACTAATTTTTTATCATCGTTTCTTATTGTTTTTAACTAGATATTATTAAAAATATATTTTATGAACAACTGTGTATGCCAAAAAAGACAATAAATGATAGTTATGATGATGATGATGATGATGATGATGATGATGAAAATGATTATGGTTATGACAATGGTGGTGGCTATGATAATGGTGAATCTGATAATGATAATGATAATGATCATGATGATGATAGTGGTATACAGTGATGGCAATGATGATAATGATGGTGGTAGTGGTGGTGATGATAATGACAATGATAAAAATAATTAAAGCACATACATTATTATGATTTTTTTTTCTATTCGAATAACCTATCATTCAAATGACTTCAAGTAACACATCAAATGCTAGCGTCACTGCCAATGTTGTTACTATGGAGACCGTAATTGTTTTGAGTCACATAAACACTATATACTCAAGAGAAACACTATTCAAAGCCAAAGAACAAACAAGTTTGATATACGGTATATTTAGTATTTTCGATCTTTACACTTCGGCCTGAATTTAGATTATTTTTTTTTACTTTTAAAAAACAAAGTTTGACAACATTTTTTACCATGTTCATAGCATTTAAACCTGCAGAATAATAATGGATAAAAGTTCACATTTCTGTTTCATGTCTGTTTAAACTTAAATTTATGTTCAACTTTAAAAAAAAATTCTTTCATTTATAACTTATATAAGTTTCATTATACTCAATGTGTCTATTAAAACTTAAATTTACTTTCAACTTAAAAAAAATATTCTTTCAAAATTGCACATAAACTTTCATAGAATTCACAGGTTAAATACATAATAATATTAAAGGGATGCATCTAAATGTTGTTCACATAATTTATTACATTTTTAAAGGCCAACTGAGGTAATTGCTGAATTTACAAAATTATGATTGGTACAATTTTTTTCTTAGAAATCACGTTTAGTTAAGGAGTAAAAAGGCATTTGTAATTACAATTTGTTTGACTGAAGTCTACAGAGTGGGAGGCAATACGCCCACAATAGGATTGTGAAGATGCCCTCCCACATGTTTTTCTCCTAGTTGTAAATCATGCTATAACTTCTGCTATAATGCTAAATAATGCTATATCTGTCTGTGAGGGTAACTTACCCATCCTTTACACTTTCAATGATTATATTATGTAGAAGAGAATAGATCCTCCAGAAACAATATCTGTATAAAAAAAATAATTGCTGGCTTTAATGTATATTCTTAATGACTATATTTTACCACCTGTCATCATTCACTGGTATATACTGGTGAAAAGCTATGCTCAAAATAATTCGGGGCAATATTATGTACCTTACGCTTTAGTGTTATTGTTTATCTGTTTATATATAGCCTATGTAGCTAACTCTCTTTAAATGAGATACTGGGATAATATACGATAAGTAAATGTATTGATGTTCTTATCATAAATTTGATATCACATATGAATTACTAATTATTCTTTCCACATACAGTATTAAAGATTGTAATTAATAAAAAGCTGTATGGAGCCATGAAGAAACATAAAAGCTATAGAGTGAATATATATACTTTGAAGATAACTTCCATAATTAAAATATTGAAAGTCTTAATCCGTGAAAACATAAATTTCCTTCTTTACTATAAATGATTAATCTAGTGGCCTTTATTTGTACCTCTATGAGGTGCCCATATACAACAATATTATCATGGTAAGTAATATAAGGCATTATTTTACAGATATATATAACGATAAAAAAAAATTATCAGCATATTAAAAAGGTGATAAAAGAATGTTCTTGTATTTCTCAATATCATATTTTCCTTGTAAAACATGAACCAGCTATGTAAAATTATTATTCATTTACAAAGTTTAATCGTCATTTTTATTACTATAGGTATATTGTATATATATATACATTTATTCTACATTGAGAAATATGTAAATAGCGTAATAAAAATGTTGATAGATAATGCACATAGATAGATCTGAAAAATTCTACAGATATAACCACAACTGAACATGACATAAAGTCTCAACTAATATATCAGCAGTAGTAGCGAGATATTCTATTATTATATTATGTTTCTGCATGGCATTATATTCGTAGCTAGTGGCTACTTAGTTACCACTTATGCACTCCTTCCTCACACCCCTTCCCCCTCCAACCACCAACTCAACCAATGCACTAAATATGTAGAGATAGGAAAATATTTCTATTATAAAAGATATTCTGGTATTAAAATTATTTGCCTGCACAATTTTATTATTTGCTTAAACTATTTTCAGTTCCTATTTAGAGATACAGTAGGAACATGATATGTAATTGTTGGACAAGTCTGAAGTCAGTGTGGCTGCAGTGAAGTCAATAGAAAGGTGATTTAAAGTAATTAAGTCACAAATGATAGCTATACCCATTGACCAATCATGAATGAAAATATTGATTGGGAGGTGAGATATGTTGATTACTCAGATGCAGTAAAAATGATTTCTTGAGAGGGAAATGAATAATAAATTAAAAGGTTGTGAACTGTTTCCAGGTACAGCTCTTCATAAACAAAAGAAAATAATCAGTCAAACGCATCTTGGAAGAACAAAAGAGAACAATTAAACTATCCATACAAACAGACATCTTGTGTACCATCAAAGGAATTCTTAATTTTATTTCAATTTTCAGTTTTTGTGTCTCAACAACAACTATGCCAAAACCAGCATTAATGACCAAAATAAGAAAACTTACTTTTTAATATATTAATATTTTCCATATTTTAAGCTTTTTTTTTTTGTTCTCGCCAGAACAAATGACAACAGATGGACGAAGCTAACAACTGAATGGACTCCCCGAATAGGCACACGAGGTCGAGGAAGACCTAAAATCAGATGAAGGGATGAGATCGTGAGATTTGCCGGAATTTCCTGGATGAGAGCTGCACCGGACAGACGTGGATGGTTTCAGCTTGGGGAGGCCTTCGCCCTGCAGTGGGCCGAAAACGGCTGAAATGATGATGATGATGAAGCTTTAAAATGGCAGGTCATTTTGAGAATTGAACTTATCATTGCGTGAAGTTATGAGTAAAAGTATTACAACTTCTCTGTACGAAAGTATACAATACTGCCACATTCTTCTAACACTCAGTTTAAAATTTAGGGACAGTATGCAAGTGTTGTGATGGCAAGCCTCATACATATTTTGTAAATAACATAGTATCTATGGAGAAAATACTTGGTTGCCTGGGAAGAACCCCATGAATCACTGGCCGTATTTGACTGGTCGTTCTTTGCTAAACCACGCCCACCTGCGCAGTGGTAAAATCCTACTTAACGAAGACTACCGGTCGAATAGAAAACTGGTAAATACTCAACAAAACAAAATAGCTGCATAGTTAACGCAATGCGCTGCGTAATCAGGGTTGCTTCGGATTGTGGCAGCATGGGTTTTTCGTAAAAAATGTTTTCATCCAGTTCTTGAATTCTGTTAGCCTACAATTATTTTTTGATTTCATGTGGGTAAATATTATATTAATTTTCTGAAATTTTATCTAATTATATTAACGCAAATGTTTTTCTAAACTGACCAATCGGCCATGTTTGTTTTGGTCACATGGATAACTTAATGGTGATTAAAGCACTCTGGTTTATATTAATTTTTATTGTCAAAGAATTCTATTTTACAAACCAGTAAGAAAAATCATTGTCAACGAAATGAAGCAGTTGAATAAGCCCACTGCCATTCTAATCCGCAAGGTCCTGTGTGGAGAGACAACAGAGAGCTTTTGATCTGTGATGATGTAAAATGTAATGACATCATGATGTGGGTTACATTCCGTCTTTAAATTGTCGGCCGAATCCAAGTTCAGGCCAGAACAAGGACTGTATTCTTTTAAACATTGGTGTGTCCGTCTTTGCATTTGTGACATCTCAGCTTATGTGCTGTAAAAATCAAAATTTATTTACAGTAGAACGTAGAATGCATGTGATGCCAGTCACGGATGAGTGAAGTCGTTCTAGATTCTTGTTCTACTTTCTGAATCAACAGCTTCCTATTGTGGATTAAAGTGCCTTGCCCAAACAGACAAGCATTACTCTCTCAATTTTTTAAGAACTCCTTGTAAAAAAGAGAAAATTACCCTGAAGACTTAGTCGATCTTTAATAAGCCTTTGGTAATTGTACTGTTAAATATAAAGCACATATAGATGTTTAGTGTGAGTGGCTGGCACAGCGGTTGCATCTCGGTCTCTCGGTACCAAAGTCGGGGGTTCAAACTCTCGCTGTGCATTTCACTTGTGTTCTTGGACAAGGAACTTTACCTACGTTCGTCTCTCTCCACTCAAAAGTATAAAATGGGTACTCAGTGGTTCACTACTGGGGAGGAAAAAGGTGGTGTAGAAATAACTGGCCACTCTTAACACACAATGCAGGGGCTTAGTCCAATGGGCTAACAGCTCAATCCCCTACTTTCAAATAATGAATACGGGACTACACTACCTACTACGTAGATGTCTAGCATATGCTTTATATGAAGTCAAAACTTATCATCATTGCCACTGCTGTCATCACCATCATCATTGTTATTATTGTTATCACATTCATGACACATGCCAGCCGTTGAACCCTATCACATGTATCTTCACTCCAAAACTTACGTGTCCTCGCTTCCACAATATATATGTGTCCGACACATATATCAAATATGGCCTTAATTTATATCTCGTTTCCTTGCTTTAGAGGCTCAATGGGTATCTGATGTGCTAAATGAAGCTGAATGTATTGGTTGTGCTAAATCATCATGCATGGCTAGGAGCAATACTCTAGGGAGTGGTTGTACATGTGTGATTTTATATACATCCAAAGTCTATTACAATAATGTAAAATGCTTGCAAAAATTTGCATTTGAAATGCAAGACAGTTTCAGAGAATATAGTAAAAACTCAATTTTATCATGGTGCATAAAAAGAAAATATCAGTTGGACCGCTGGCAGATGGTTGTAGTAGCAGGGGTAAGGCTCTAGTGACCATGATGCCTAAAAAAGACAGGCAAATTTGTACAACTGTAAGCTGTTCAAGATATATTTAGAACGTATTATATTTTTTAAAGATGTTGTTGGTCCGATAGGGGCTTGCAGGGGTGGAATCCAGAGTTGTTCAAAAGTGGGGGGCCGAAAGTGGGGCGGATTGAGACAACACTACATTTTGACTTCTCGACGTCCAAAAATAACTTCTGAGGCGTTTTGGGAGATTAATTATTTTCTTTCAGCCGGTCTAGCCTTCCTCTAAATCTGTCGGTGGCTTGGCCTGTAGGACAGGGGAATAAGATCCTAACCCCGCACTTACATACTGGAAATGCGAGATTGCCATGGAATGCCAAGCACACTTTTTTATAACAAAGTAAAGTGACTTCTAATGAAAAACACAAAAGAAGTAGGTTACATCACCTATATATGCAATAGATTGTTATGCAGATTTCAATTTTTGCAAAACATGGCAGTCTAATATATTTGAATATAGAGCCTAGAGGACATTCAAATGCACTTTATGATCAATACATTATTTATGAATATTTAATACATAATAAAACAACGATTCCAAAAAAAAAGAAAAGAAAATATTTCCACACAAACTAATATTTTCTAATTTATCTTTACTCTCACATCAACATACCAAACATTTAAATAACTTTCTGTTACAAAAACACCCTTTCATCTGATATATGCAACAATGGCATTGCAACAAGTCAGATGGACCTATGTACAACATTCCAATAATCTGTAATAAGCATGTTCACAAATACAAACCTTTTGCAAATAAGCTCGGCATTGAAGCCGCCAAAAATTTTAAAAAGTGCTGCAGAGCAAATTCATTATTTACGGTATGCGCATATCTCCCATACACTAGTACACAAACACACACACACAGTAGCAGCGGTGGGATGACATATACACACATGCACACACACCCACACCCATGCATGGTAGCAGCAGTGGGATGACAGATACACACACACACACACACACACACACATGGTAGCAGTGGGATGACACACACATTCAATCACACTCAAATGTGTATAATTATGCATAAAAAATTAAATACTGTCAAATATGATATATGATAGGTGAACTGTCAAAAAAAATTTCAATAAAATTAAAAATACCTTAAATGACATTTCCTATGAGCCTGGATGAGTTATTCATGTTTGTGAAATG